GTGTTGTTTCAGAAACTGTACTGGACTTGTCCTTGTACATAACATTCTCATTGAAAACCACGTTCCTGCTCCTTATGATCTTCCGACTCTGATCATCCCAGAAACGATATCCAAATGCCTCATCTCCATAGCCAATGAAATAACACTTCCTTGACTTAGCCTCAAGCTTATTACAAGCATCAGGATTAATGAGAATATAAGAACGACAACCAAAAGTCTTAAGGTGAGAAAATTTTACCTCTTTCCCACTACAAACTTCTTCAGGTAATTCACAGTTTAATGGAACAGATGGCTCTCTATTGATCAAATAAACTGCAGTACTAACCACTTCTGCCCAGAAAGTAGGTGGCAGTCCGGTGTGCAATCTCCTGCTTCTAGCCTGCTCATTAATGGTCCTATTCATGCGCTCTGCAACACCATTTTGCTGTGGTGTTACTGGAGTGGTCTTCTCCATTCTGATTCCCTGAGCTGTACAGGACTCCTTGAACCCACCATCAATGTACTCACCACCATTATCAGACCTCAGACATTTCAGCTTTAACCATGTCTCTATCTCAACCATTGCCTTCCAAGTCTTAAACACACTGTATACATCAGATTTATACTTTAAGAAATAAACCCATACATCAACAGTGATCTGCCTGACATCTGATGTACCCTACACTGTGCATGAAATTATCAAATTTCTTGTACCACTGTTTAGGAGCTTGCTTCAGTCCATACAAGCTCTTCTTCAATATGCAAACTGACTCTTCCTTTCCTTGTACCACGAACTCGTCAGATTGGTGCATGTAGATGTCTTCTTCAAGATCCCCATGAAGAAAGGCTGTCTTCACATATAACTGCTCAAGGAAGAGATCTTCAGTAGCTACTATAGACAGTACCATTCTAATGGTTGTAAGCTGTAAGCTTCACCACAGGAGAGAAAATCTCGGAATAATCAATACCATGCTTCTGCTGAAAACCCTTTACAACAAGTCTAGCCTTGTACCTTTTACTGTCATCATGCTCAGTTTTCACCCGGTACACCCACTTGTTGTGTAATGTCTTCTTCTCAGTTGGAAGATCTACTAACTCCTAAGTCTGATTTTCAAGCAGAGAATTCATCTCCTCCTTCATGGCTAGCTCCCACTTGCTCGAATTTTTATCTTGCAAGATTTCTTCATAACTCTGAGGTTCTCCACCATCTGTCAGCAGAATGTAGTTCAAAGTCGGAGAATAACTTTGTGGAGAACGTCTGACCCTTTCTGACCAATGAACTGCAACTATAGGGGTAGACTGCTCTGAAACCGACTGTGGAACAATATGAGTGGATGCCCTGGATCCACTCTCCTCGTCACCTGCATCTCTGTCCTGCACTGCGACTTCTGGTAAATCATCAAACTTTACCAACTCAGATTC